GCGAGTCACCAAGCCACCGATTCAGTCACTAGACTCTTGGAACACGTACTGGGACATTAGTCTCATTATTCATCCAGATATCTTCACTGAGACTTTTTTACATTTTGTGAATAATGATTTCTTCACCTGGTTGTTTACATGTTATCACTACTCTGCCTCCATAGCAACACTGACACTGCTGAGGAGCAGCTCAGACATCAGAGTCACCAGTACTGCTGACATGTGCTTCCTCGAGAAACTGGAAGATCTTTTATAATCTAATGAGATAAGGGACAAGCTAGAAAATCTGCCACTGCCAATTACTTACCAGTTTTAGTTATATAAAGGGCTCAATCAGATCTACAATCAAGTCTTTTATACATGCCAAAATTCACTGGTGGGTGAGGATGAGAGCAATGTTTTAATTCAGGCTTTTTAACGACCATTAGTAATGAACTATGACTGAAATAAGCTCCATTGTTACCGTAACTCAAAATCATGCAAAAATAATAATTTTAGTTCTTTTATGAGAGGAAGGCTGAATATATTAGCATTTAATCTGCCTGAAAATAACAGTGACTCACCAGAGCTATCTAGATGGCAGCCAGTCACTCAGTCAACACTACTGAGGCCTGGAGCCTTGTTAGCTGGGGGACGTTCAGTTACCCGGCACTGCCACCAGCCCTCCCCCCACCATGGCTTTTTATGTTTCTGTGGCTGTTGTTGTTTTTCAGGAGGCACCAACTAACAAACTTCTATATGCCAAGGACATACCAACCTACAAAGAGGAAGTAAAATCTTATTACAAAGCAATCAGGGATTTGCCTCCATTGTCATCTTTAGAAATGGAAGAATTCTTAACTCAGGAATCTAAGGTATTACTAAAAAGCGGAAATAAGCTTATAATTTGGTTAGTTAAAAACATGTATTTCAGAGCCTTTCAACAAACCTTTCTTTTAGAAACATGAAAATGAATTTAATGAAGAAGTGGCCTTGACAGAAATCTACAAATACATCGTAAAGTATTTTGATGAGGTAAGCTTTTACTTACTCACAAGCCCATCACAAGTCCTTGGCATAGTCCTCCATCCCAGATAGGCAGAAAGGGATGACCCAAGTCAGACCCCGCACAGGCTACCCCTCCTGTAGTCTGTCATCTTGTCCACCTTTAGATCCGCCTGAATTTGAATTCATGGGGTCTAATGCCACAATTATTCAAGTAAATTTTGATTAGTAAGTTATGGCCCTGTTAAATGGGGCCGGTTTATGTTTGAATGGGATCTGCTAAAAATGAAAGCTAAGCCTGTAAGTCACCTAGCTTCTGTCTTTCATTGTTATATGAAATCATGATATACTTTAACTTAAGCGACTATCAATAAACAGTGTTCTCACTCAGGCTTTTCATGACCATTAGTAGGAACTACCATTCTCCTTTAAGATTAATTCTCCTTAATCTGGATTCGTTGTTTCCAAACATATGTTAATTCCCCCTTCCCTGATTCCCCCCACTCAGTCATGCTGGGACAGGCTATCCATGTCAATGGTGAGAATAGCTCACCAAGTCCATTTGCTACTTGAAGATCAAGTGAAGAGCTAAGGTAGGGTAGAGGCAATGAGCTCCTTAAACATGATAAGCATCCCTTGCCAAGGGTGAGAGGGGAGGGAAAGAGATGGAAGAATCCACCTCTGATCAGGATGCCCTTGCCTGCTGCATTTGAGGAATACTTGCCTGCATGCTGGCTGCCCAGAGATGCTTGCTGTGCTTGGAATGGCTGTGACGTAATGCATAAAGCAGGGCCTTGGAAGTCTGGCCCAATATTTGTAAGCAAATAGTTGGTATTTCTTGTGGGCTTCTATTTCAAGCCCAAGTGTTGTTGATCCTGTGATAATGACTTAGTGAAGCGAGTATGGAAATGATGGAAGAAAATGCTGGCATCTGTCTCATACAGATTCTTACCACTCTCACAGCATCAGGAATGGGGGAGAAGAAAGAGCAAGCCCACCAGAATTGTGAATTGTAATGCTAAAACTCTAATATGTAAAATAACTCTTCTAATTGTCAACAGATTCTAAATAAACTAGAAAGAGAACGAGGGCTGGAAGAAGCTCAGAAACAACTCTTGCATGTAAAAGTCTTATTTGATGAAAAGAAGAAATGCAAGTGGATGTGAGCACCCTGGGGCCTGGCTTTATTTGACAAAGTTCTTCAGACAGCTTGGGAGCAAAATGGCTGCTTGAGCTACTCTTTGTCGTTAATTTCTTATGTTTGCACATGGGTTCCACTTTGAGCACTGTCTTTTAAGAGACCAAGGCACACGCACAGCTTATAGAAAGCATATCAACCACTGTGCCTGTGGGGATACCGTGGGAACCTTTCTGTAAATAGAGCTGAAGTGGTTGTTGCAAACAGCCTCCTTGTTTACAGAGAATACAGGGCCAGTAAGCAAGTGTCAGTATTGTAACTACAGTCTCCACTTAAGCACAATGACACCTAAGTAGTCTGTTGGAAAACTACAGCTATGTAGCAGTTGTGACTACACCGCACGTCTGCAGAGGAGAGGGGATACTAACAATGCTCAGAATGTGAACTGGGTCATTTGGAAACAAGGTGGGGGTGTCAGGGCAACCCTGAGGGTCTGCAGCATTCACTTTCCCCAGTAGTTCTTGGAAAAGCTGAAGGCAAAATTTGGTAGTGTTGTACACTTAGCGTTTGTGAGTGTGTGTGTTTAAACCAAAAACCAACAGTGTTGCAACATTGTTGAAAGGGCTCGTGTTTTTCAGTGGTTGCCAGCTGCACTCATCAACTCCCTCCATCTCATCCAAGGAGCTCTAAAGCAAGGAGTGAGCGGGTTTCACTGAAATGCCACAGCATTTTTTTCCAGACTCTGTCCTAATGTGTTTCCTTTTCATCTTTTCATGTATCTGGTAGTGGACATGTTCAGTATTGTGAGCAAAGAATTCATGGCTGACTTCTGTTTGATGGGAACTGTCTGTGGATGTGTAAGTCACTCCTGTAATCTTACATTTCTATGCTAGTGTCTCCTTGCTTTAGATTTCTGGTGAACCCTGTGGTTATAAATACTTGTGTGTGATTAAAATAAAAGATACATTTTACATTTCATCAAATTGTTGTTCACATTGGAGTATTATATATAAATATATATTTGAGGCCCAAGGCCTGAAAAATATTAGTACAACTTGGTATCTTAGTCTTACTATGTACTTTTTGAAAGTATTCCTTACAGGAGAAAGATTTAAAATACTCATTTATTCGTGCCTCTTTTTTTTTTTCAAAGAATTTCCTATACAGTTATAATGTAGTCTTTTTTATTGCTGATTTTTTTTATTCCCGAATTTTTGCTGCTCATGACCAATTTTAATACCACTGTGTTTTCCTTCTATTAAACAGAAATACAAAGTATAATCTGAGAACTGTCTCACTTCCCTTGTGGCAGGCACCTTTTACCCTTGATGTTCCAAACCCCCACTGTAGGAAAGAATTTTCTTTCAATCAGCAAATAAAACATTGAGCACACATTCTTTAAAACTATTTACCAGCACTGTATGGACCATCTAGAATAAAATGGAATTTGTCTTGGTAAATGCAATCTTTTTTGCTCCGTAATAGCAGATAAAGTATAAGAGAGGTTAACATCTCAACATCAGTTCCTGTCCTGATCGGCACCTTCCCAGTCCTTTCTTGTGACCATTGTCTGCCCAAATGGACACATCTCAAAACTACTACCAAATACTTTATTTCTAAGTAGAAAGGTGAGGTCTGGCCCCCATTTAAAGCTGCTACAGTCTTCAAAGAGGTGAAGGCTTTCATAAGAAAAGTTGGAGGAGAGTTGAGAGCCAAGGGTAGGAGAATTGCCCAACAGACTTTCCCTTCTCTGGGGAAGGTTTGGCCACAGCTTTAGTGAAGTCTTATTAAATGCTACACAAGTCCCTGTCCAGCTCTATGACACGGGTCCGGTGTGGAGTGAGGATCTTTGGGCAAATCACTTACCTCTTTGTGCCTCTGTAATTTCTGTATAGTATTTCTAACCTACCTCACTGAGGTGGGATGAAGATTCACTCATGTGTGTAATGTGTTTGTCAATCCTCCAGTGAAAAGCACTATCTACATCACAGTTTGGATCACAGTAGCCGAGTGCAGAGAATGTCCAAATTAGATGTGTGCTGAAGACAATCAGTCACTGGTCTATAGTAAACAGCAACTAAAGAAACAAATGACAAACAGTATCTATTTTCAAGTTTCTTTGCATATTTTTGGTGCAAAACAATTAATTTATAAACTTTTTTTCTAACACTAGTGTCTAAAGCAGCATCTAAAAATGACTTCTGTTACTTTTCTGTATTAGGATTTAAAGTCTATTTCTTACTGTATACCCTGACTGAAGCTGTTCTTGAAGATGAATGTTTTAAATGTCTATATCCAAAAATAAACATTTTGATGTAACAACTGTGGGCTGTTTGTCTTTTCTAGTTCAAATGGGTTTCTTACTCTAAGTGGTTTCATGGAAATTACTTTTCAGGAACAAGATATCATTGTACATTCCACATAAAAAAGCACCTCCATTAAGCAAACCTGGCTCCTTGCTAAATGATGCCAAGAGCTGCTTGATTACGTTCTTGTCTTCAGAGATCACCTTGGACTTTTGACTGCAGAGACTTCTGAATAATGATAAATCCATATAAGTTTGGCAAACTTGAGCTGAACTTTACTTTGCCGACTTGAAATTATTCCAGCAGAATTCCTCTAAAACATGCTCCATAAAGAAGCTTCCAATGGGTGAACAGTGAAAGTTGAATAAAAGATAATAATTTGGTTAGGTCCTAGACAGTGAGAAACAAAACTAAATACCAGAAACACTTCACGAGTCTACTGCTTCATGTAAGATCATCAGGAACTCTCTGTAGAAACAGCCGCAGGACTCAATTTTCTAAAACTTCCAACTAACCAAAGCAAAAGGAAGGTGAAATCATCACTCTATGATCAGTGAAATTAAACACAAAACAACAGATAGAAAAATATTTATTAAGTTATTTAATAAATTAAGTGCACAGCTTTTAGAAAAGGTAAAGATGGTAAATAATGGATATATATTTAGAAACTTTTAAGTGATATTTATACTTCTAAATGACCATCCTTTCCCAAAACTTTTATAACTTTTGTATACAATAAAGGAGATGTTTATTGATCATCTTATTGCCATCTCAAAGATAAGAAAAAAGGAATTCAAGATTACATTTTCAAGCAAAATACCAGAAAAATTTCAACAAAATAAAAATTACTATTATTTCATATTATTATGAAAACTTGATTCCTTAGTTAGTTCCTCTTATCTTTTGTCGTGTCAATACATGCTCTACAGATCTAAAACTTGCAACACTTCACTTTGGTTACCATGATCCTAAAGTCCCGGACCCGTTCAGTGTAGCATGTGGCTAGTACCTTTTCTTGAGGCAGCTCGTGGGTTTGGCAAACAGTAATAAAGCACCGCAATGCCACAGGTTAGACGTCACGCTTTATTGAGGTCTGGCTTTGCCTTTCTTCCAGCATCATTCCCCAGGAGATCCAAGTTCCTCTAGTTGTTTTCTTTGTGTCGTTTCTAGTTCTTCCAGTCTTTTGCGAAGTAGAGAAAGTTCTCTTTGATGTTGTTCCTCCTTAAAAATGACACATAACAGAAATCTAGAAAAACTAGGAAAGTCCCTGCCTTCTGCCTCTCTCACAGAGGCCTCCAACAATGTGGCTGAGATATGATGTCCATTTTAGCAGTCAAAAACAGAGTAGCAAGGGTGAAACCATTAACTAGTCCCCTTCTCTCCTATCTCAGGTTCTACTCTTAAGCAAAACCCAGGCTATTCCTCCTTAGGAGTAAAATTCACCAGGGAGTAAACTAAACAATGCTACCGTCAGGGCACAGGTCTACATAGACAGCAGATTTCACACAAGACTGGAATGTTGCGGTAATTTACTAAAAGCAGCACCGGGTATAAGACTGTCTAGTAACTACAATCTTAGGCCTATGCTGTAAAACATAGTTACTTAAAGTCCAACTTTTGAATAGCATCCAGTCAAATCTCGGAGCCTAGGCTCTGGAATCAGGCAGATCTAGGTTTAAAAAAAAGCCTGTCATTTATTCAGCTAGGACCTCTGGCAAGTCACATGACTCTCAGTTTCTTCACCTATGAGTTAGAATAAAAATGGTGCCTTCCCTCAAGCATTTTTCACTAGTATTAAAATATTATATGGAAAATGCAGTTCGTTGCAAGTTCTTGATAGTTGTATATAATTAATCTACAAAATCTAGGCTACTCACAGACCCTTATAGCCAAAATGAGAACTTACTGCCAGCACCATCACTGAAGGACAGAGCATATGTCAATTTACTCAAATTTCTACAGTAAATGAAAAAGAAGAAGGCAAAACTCTACATTTCTAAATCGGTAAAACCAAAGAAGAACCCTGTAGAAATGTTTGTCTCTTCTCTACAGTGCCCCTACCTGCACATGAGGGGGGAAGGAGAGCTCGAGTCCAGGCGCTCTAGCCGATGGCTGAAAGCTAGCAGAATGGAGCGATGCTGCGGGAGGCAGGTCAGGAACCAAGATCAGACTCCGAAACTCATTATGTCTTCTCTGTATGTCCTTTAGTCGCTTCTGAAGCCTTGTATACTCTTCAAACGGAACATTTTGCCTTAAAAAGAAAAAGAATTTCTGCTCTTTAATAGTTACACTCTAATGAGGATCAGAATATAATTTTTAATTGGGAGACTCTTAAGTTATAATATCCATGTATCTAAAAAAATCTATGTATCGGAAAGATGAACAGAAAAATGATCTTTTTATTGTACCACACTATACCCCTGTAGCTATGACTGGTGTAGAATTCACTTTGCAGCCCAGGGTGGCCTTACAACTCAAGTGCTAGGATTATAGGTGTGCTGCCACACCCAGCGAATTAATACATACATACATATATATGTATATATGTGTGTGTATATATGTGTATATATGTGTGTGTGTGTATGTATATATATATATATTGTTTTTAAGACAGATTCTTGCTGTGTAGCTCTGACTGGCCTGAACTCACTATGCAGATCAGGCTGGTCTCAATTTTCACAAAGACCTTCTTGTCTCTATCTCCAGAGTGCTAAAACTAAAAGCAGGTGCCACCACACTTGCCCCTATATATTAACAATAGATAATTATTAGCACTTTAAGCTATTAACTCATTATAGCCTTATTTGTCAATTAATCAAAGATTAAAAATACCTTGGGAAAAATGTTGGCACTTTTATTTTCACTTCTATATCATTCCCTCCTATGAATCCTGAATATAAAAGGGAAGTCTAAACTACAAAAAAAAAATTAAAGTTGTATTCAACCTTATGAAACTCATTTTTTACATGAAATATAGTCAAATATAAAATCATAGTTCTTTATATTTGAATTCAACCGAATTTTGAATGTAAATGGATACCTATACAATAACAATATGTTATTTGGCCTCTGGTTCCACCAGTGTATGACTCCTAAGACTCTTGGAATCTCAGGAGTGAAGGGCACTCTTCTACAGTGACGAGCTAAGTCCTGGACAGGGACCGTACACAGCTGCAGGAAGGAGAGGATGCGATTACACGATGACAACTTTTGGTCCCACTACACCTGCACCTCTGGAAAGGGGAGAGGAACTGAAGACTCAGCTGCTCATTAGTGACAGATAATGTGGTCAATTGATGGGATATGACTGTCATAAAACCCAATAATGTGATCAATCGATGGGTTACGGCTGTCATAAAACCCAATTGCTAATGTGATTAATCAATAAGATAGGGCTGGGGCAAGGGAGGCTCTGCAAACATGAGGACCTAAGTCAGGATCCACAGTGCCCAGGTCAAACAGTCCAGCAGAATCAGAATCGGGGAGCTCTAGGTTCTTTAAGTCTGTCTTAAAGACTAAGGAGAAGTGTGACTGAGGAGAACATCTTCCATTGATCCACCACCACCACCACACACAAGGGAAAAACAGACAGGGTTTAGGGACCTCTAGATTTGCCAAATAGATGGAGACCAGAAGGTGGTATACAGGCCATGGACACCCACGGCACTCATACTTTTTCCTTTAACTCTCTTCCAACTGGCTGCTCATTTGTGTCCTTCACAGTATTCTTTAAAATAACTGGAGTCAAGTATTTTCCTCAATTTTGTGAGCCACCAGCAATCAACAGATCTGAAGCGGAGGGTCAATGGAACCCCAATTTACAGCCTGTCAATCAGACATGACCTGGGCTTTATGACTGCCATCTAAAGTGGAAGAGTCTTGTAGGACTCAGCCTCATGCTGGGTCAGACTCTGAACTGAGTTACAGGACGTTCACACCAGTCCACTAGAGGACTGTTGTCCAAGGACACCAGAACACAGCAGAAGCCACTGCTGCACAATACAGGCAACCTGCATTTCAGACAAGTCCAGTTCTTCATTAAATAACAAGCATTAAATAACAGTTCAAAAAGATTATACCGCCTTAAATCAAATGGGTCATACAATATCACTATCGCCAACTTAAAAGTGTCGATCTTCTCAGCTCAAAGAGCACTAACAGTGACTGGCAGCCGACACAATGTCCAGAACTGCGCCACTGCCACAACGTTGCTGCCATGACAAGAATCCACACCAGTCCCAGTAACAACAGCTACTGCACTGCACGAAGCCACCGAGTGTCCTTTTCCTGTTAGTACGCCCAACACTACAAATGCCTTGTAAGATCCAGACTTTTGGCCTGAAGTAACAATAAATTAAGAAGAAAAGTAAAATGTAATGCATTTTAGAAATCTTATAAGTAATATATTTTTTCTTGTTTTTGAGATAGGATCTCAGTATGCAGTCCTAGCTGGCCTCCAACTTGTTATATAAACCAGGCCTACCTCAAACTCACAGGTGTCTACTTGTCTCTGTCTTCACAGTGCTGGCCTTAAAAATACAGCTTAAAATAAAACATAATGTTCAGTATACTAAGAAACAACGTTTTGGAACTGGAAAGATGACTTAGCAGCAAAGAATATTTGTTGCTCTTCCAAAGGACCAGAGTTCAGTTTCCAACACCCACATGGTGGTTCACAACAGCCTGCAACTCCAGTTCCAGGGAACCTCACACCCTTCCTAGCCTCTGCAAAGGAACTCATGCAGGCACAGGCACAGATATATACAACAGATTTTTTTAAAAAAAGTAAACAGAAATAAGTTCCACAACATTACAATAGAGCATACATACAAACGTATTACCTATTTAACACCTGGTTTTCTGTCTCTAATTCTTCTCTCTTTGCCTCCAAGACTTCCACTTTTTCCTGAAGTCTCTTCAACTTGTTTTCATGAAGAGATTTTCTCTAAAAGAAAAAAGATTAGTATAAAACAATTATGTTAATACCTAATTTCTTCCTATTTGAACAAAATGATGGTGGATATCCTAGACCTTCTTTATAAAACTTAGAGATTAATATTTTCAGTGAACACCAGGGACAAACATTAGTATATGGCTTGTACTAAAACTGCAAAGGCAAAAAACAGATCTATGTTACTCTTTCAATGGGACATATAGAATCATTACCAATACCAGAAAACTGGAATCAATAACCAAATCATTGCAAATGAACTCAGGAAAAGGAGGCAGACTCTTACTGCGTATGCCTGCCATCAGCAAAAAGGAGCATGAGCTCCTCATGGTTTCTGATGATAAACACAGGTTAAGATACCAGAACACAACTTTAAATTAAAAGCCCATCTGCAATCAATAAATTATAACCAAAGCCAAAACTGAAAGGATGAGTTAAGATAAAGCAGTATTTCTAAATATAAAGAGAAAAATAAATTCAATTTTATAATACATAGAGAAAATTTCTAAAAGTGAACACTATGATTTTGTTAAACTGGAAAGAGTATATTGCAAAAGGACTATAAGAACTGAAACATTTTTCAGTTTTTATAAACAGGTTTTAAAAATAGAAAGATACCCATCATGTTGGAAATAATTTAGCAGCTGCAGATCTCTTAAATATGTTTTCTGTTTATTGAAGCATAACAAACTTGTTCAAAAAAAAAAAAAGCACAGAATGTAAATGCAGAATCCAAGGAAACACGCAGCCCAAACACTGGCACGACCACGTCACAGGTCAACAGCACCTTCAGGTAGTGTCCTTCTCCTCATCACGACCCCTCCTCCATCATCCGAAAAGGGAACCAACTAATGTATTTCCAGAGCTATGGTTCTCCTAACTTTTGAATTTTATGAACTGCAAGAGGAGGATACCCTTTGGCAAATGACATTTTCCTTCACTCAGCACTCTTGTGATTATCATGTTCTTTACCAGTGTAACACAGTGAATATTCTCACAGCTCTCCACTTCTGACTACATTCATCGTATTCACCCAGTCCACTAAGGAGCATTTAGGTTACGTCTAGTTGTGACAGAATTGGAGGTTCAGGGTTCCACAAGTAACACTTTTGTGGGCATTGCTTAGCCTTCCATATCCATCCTTAGCATCCTCAAAGGTTTCATGCTCCTCCTGGATATATACCCTGGCAAAGTTACCATTCTTATTCCTTTATGACTGTACTTACTTACTTGTGGCCTGAGGAACACGGATGCCCACTCTTCCATCCATCTCATTTGTATAAGAGAAACTATAAAGCACATATCCTTTGCATCCGTTTTTTTCTAAGCATTTTATCTCTGTAGAAGCAATGCTATTGAATATTACAGTAGTGTTTTCCATTGCTGTCTAGTGTACAAGTATAGTACGTTTCAACCATTTTCCTACTGATGAAAATTTCAATTGTTTCAGTTTGTAAGTATTAACAAACTTTACCTAGGTCATGGAGTATGGCCTTGGTATAACCTGCCACTTTTCTGAAACGACTCTACCAGTTACACCCCACCGGCTTGATAGATAGGAGAGCTGTGGCTGTTTGCAACCTTGCCAATATCTGCTAAACTCAGTCCTTACATTTAGCCATTCTGGTATAGTCTGTCAGAGTGTTACTGCAAAACAGTTGTAACTTTTATGATAGCTATCTAAAGATGTTAAATATCTTTTCTTATCCTATTAGCCAGCTCTGTTTTCTTTAGAAATGTTGCATATATACTTGTTTGTGCTTAGTCTAGTTTTTGCGCAAAAGCTTTTTTTGAGTAATCTCCTTCTTATGTATTTGAAGTTCTTTAAGTATTCAGGTTATGAATGCTTTTGTACATGAATTTATTGTGATTCATATTTCAACCTAGTGTGAGAATTTTTGTTTTAAATTTTTAATTATTTTATGTGTATGAAAAGTTTGTCTGCATATACACCTGAGCACCATGTGCATGCCTGATACTGAGAGAAGAGTGTATTGGATTCTCTAGGACTCGGGATACAGAGAGTTGTGAACTGTCATGTGGGTGCTGGGAATGGAACCCAAGTCCTCTGGGAAAGCAGCCAGAAATCTTAACCGCTGAGTCATCTCTCCAGGCCCTATCTTGAAATTTTCTCTCTTAAAACAAAAACAAAAACCCTACCTTTCTCTGTTATCTCTGGGGCTGTGGATCAGACTGGTTATCCTCTATAAGGGACGCACGGATTTCCCTGGGAAGGGGAATAGAAGAGGTCTCCTCGGTAAATTGGGGGCAGGATAGAGGGAATGAGGAGGATGGGAACTTGAAAATACAGGGTTGGGCAGGCTGGGTGCAAGAAGCAGTTTTAGGGCAGGAAGGAGGTTAAGAAGAAACCTGGCGCTAGGGAAATTCCCAGAAATGCACAAGGATGACCCAGCTAAGACCCCTAGCAATAGTGGAGAGGTGCCTGAAGTGGCCTTCTCCTGTAATTAGATTAGTGACTACCCTAATTGTCATCACAGAACCTTCATTCAGTAAATAACGGAAGCAGATGCAGAGATCCACAGCCAAGCACTGGGCCGGGCTCTGGGAGTCCAGTTGAAGAGAGGGAGGAGGGATTATAGGAGCAAAGCGGGGAGGGGTCAACACCATGAGGAGAAACCAGAGACAGCTGACCTGAGCTCCTGTGGGCACAAGGACTATAGACCAACAGTTAGGGAGTCTCCATGAGGACGGCGTAGACCCTCTGCATGTGTGTGACAGTTGTCTAGTTTGGTTTGTTTGTAAGACTCCTAGCTGTGAGACCAGGACCTGTCCCTGAGACAGCGGGCTTTTAAGAACCTGTCCCCTGCGCTGGATTACCTTACCCAGCCTTTATACAGGGGAAGGAGCTCAATTGGCCCTACCTCAACTTGATGTTCCATGCTATGTTCAAGTCCATGGGAGGCCTGCCCCTTTCTGAATGGAGACAGAGAGGGAGTGTGTGTATGGAGAGGGAGTTGAAAGAGGAGGGGAAAGAATGGGAAGAGAGGAGCGACAGAAAACTGTGGTTGGTATGTAAAATAAAGGAAAAACATGTTAATAATAATTTTAAAAAGCACATTTCCAAGTAAGATGTTCTACTGAAGTTCCAGTTTGCACATTAATAAATTAATGCCGTTTCAGTAGCAAGCTTTTTATTGTCAAATTTCTCAGAGTTGAAAGATATTTTCAAAGCCAAAGTGTGTAGCTCAAAGGAACTTTAAACTACGTGTGTCTGTATGCGTGTGTGTGAAAAGAATTTATAATCTTAATTCTTAGAAAGATCAGAATATTTTGTATTGTGAAATTGGAATACTGGCAAAAAAACAGATTCAAGCTTCTACAAAGAGTCAAAAGTCTAAGCTAATTTTAATCTTTTCATTTCTTTTGGTAAAAAATGGCATTAATGTAGTATGAATTCTTAGAAATACAAAAGAATTGACTAAACAAAACATCTAAATTTTATAAAATGTTTGATGGTTTAATTCTTTTATCTTTTATAGGAAATGTAAAAATACAGATTAAAAACAAGTGTAGAACAGTATTTTCCAAAACAATAATGATAAAAACTTGTTAATTTAAAAAAGGTACCTTTCAAAGAAAAAAATTCATTTTTTGGAAGAAAATTTACTTTTATTTTCAAATTGTCAATCATATCTTTTATAGTTAGTATTTTCTGTGCCCTATTTAAGAAATGTTTATTTACACCAACATCCTATAGTTTGCTCCCAAGTTATCGTACACTGGTTATAGTCACGAATTTCATCTTTCACTTCTAAGAACATGGATCTTTTTATCCACATTACAGTGCTGAGTGGGTGAAGGACAAGCAGTTGACACAGTGCCCTAGGGCTCTACTTTGCTGAATGCAAGGGTTGATACTTTGGTAGCAAGATCTTGCTGGCTTCCCTTCCCTTCAGGATTGCCTTGGTTATCTACTCTTTCTGATACTCTGAAAGATTTACAGTTTGTTTTTTACTTTTATAAAGGAATATTAAAAGATTTTGATTATATCTAACTTGTAGATCTACTTGGGAAGAGCTGGTTTAACAATGAATTTTCCAAAGCATGAACATGATATGATTTTCTTCTTTAATCATGTTTTAAATTATTCTGAGCAGTTTGTAGTTTTAAATAGACATTTTTTATATGTAAGATCTACGCCTAAATATTTACATTTTTCTGCTATTATAAATGACATTTATGTATTTTATTTTTCCAACTGTGCATAAAGATAGCTAGTTCGTTGTTTGACTTTTTAATCAACACCTTTAAAAACTTACATATCTTAGGTTGGGCATGGTGGCAAGTCTGTAATTCTAGCTAGCACTCAGGAAGCAGGGGCAAGAGTATCTCTGTGAGTGCGAGGGCAGCCCTGGACACACAGCAGGACTGTCTCAAAAAAATAAGTCAAATAAATAAATATCCCTAACCTATTTTAATAAGTACTGCTAGATTTGTTTCATGCATAATCATTTAATTTATGAATGGCAATCTTACTTCTTTCTTTCCAATAGTTATACCTATTTTTCTTACTTCATTAAATTGGCTAGAACCTCCATCAAAATAATAAAAAAATGTTACTAGTGGACTGATCTGGCTTGTTCCTGACTTGGATGAAGGAGATATTGAACATTTAATCAGTAAGTGTGTTAGCTGGAGGATTTTGTAGCTTCTGCTATGAAAGGCACTGATGTCTCCAGCTGTTCTCTATACCCAGTAAGACAGTCACAGCAGTTGGCCCTTCTTCCTTGAGAGTTCACTGAACTATACTCGTCAGTCTTGCACGCTAGCCCACTTTTAGTCTTAGAATCAACCTTATGTTATTTTAATACAGAATTATACTGAGCTTCCTAATATTTACAACTTTGTATCTGTTTAAATGATGAAATTCTCTTTTCTTATGACTGTAGCAGATTTGAACCTCATAAAATATATATGGACATTCTATTTTTTTTATTACTAGGGAAAATTAAGACTAATATTATTTCTTCCTT